GAAGGTGTGCCTCAGAGTTAACTGTTCAATCTCCAGGGGATGAACCCTCTGAGAGCTATGCCGGCAAAGAAGGTGATGACAAGGCCTTAAATCAGAGAAGCAAAGATAATAAAAAGAGGACTCTTAACAAGAGCTGCACAAACCTAAAGCAAACCAAAACGACATTAAATCCTTTTTAAACAAAACAACTGGTTCACAATCAAAAAACAAACAAAATACCAACATTAATTCTCTAATATGCAATTCTGAAAACAGAAAATAGTTATATCTCAATAACAGACGTACTATCAATGGTGCTAGTTTGGCGAGCTGTTCCCACACGCTCGGGGTAGATGACCATCCACATTGAGCCTGGTTCTTCTAGAGGTTTCTCCCTGTTAATGAGGGAGTTTTTCCTCCACAGTCGCTAAAGTGCTGCTCATTGTGGGAACTGTTGGATTTCTCTATATTTAATATGATTTTAAGGTCCTGACCTTCTATGTAAAGTGCCTTGAGATAATGGATATATTATGATGTGGTGCTGTACAAATAAAATTGAGTTGAATTATTGTCTTTACTTGTAAATGCTGATTGCTGTTCAGACCAGTCGGTCTGGGTCTACAGGTTTTACTGCACGAGACAAGCTCAAGCTGTTCTGCACTTTGACATCAATTCAAGATTATCAGTCCTCCTCCACCTGTCATTGGGAAACCAAAACAAAAAGCTAAAAGACAAAAGTCTGTAGAACAATGTCCTCCGGCGGGTTCCTTAAGTATGGATAGAAAGCTTTCATTATACACATAGTAAACTTAGTCACTGTCATATGGCGTACATTGATCATTGCAGCTTTTAATAACTACACAACACGTTTGAGTCCATGACAACAAGTCACTTTAACTTAGCCTTATTCCACAGAAAGAAATTAAAATATTGATGCCATTCTTGTGTCTCTGCAATAAATATGAAGCTACAGTTGAGACGTGGATTATAGAAACTGTACACGTAAAAGTCTACAATATAATAATCAGAATTGAAGGCCTTAAAACATTAAAATACTATGTTCAGTCTTAAATGTGTTTAGGTAGGTCTTGATTATGTTCACATTCATTCTTAAGCTATGTCTGTCACACTTTAAAATGAGGGTTTCCTTTTTTAAGACAAATGTTTCGGCTGCATGTAGAGACTGTAATGTCTCTGTGTGTTGTACTTTGTCTCAACAATACAGAAAATGGCATGTTCTGTCAGGAGGACTTTCTCTGTCTCACTCATTCACAGTTCTTCAACACTCTCCTGGCCTTCTGGATGTTTACAGTAATCCAATAAGATCTTGGCATGATCTGTTCTCCTCTCTGTTGTTGTCAGCTGTTATTTCAGTGATTCCCTGCCAACCACTTCCTTACCAGTCACCTCCAGTCTCTGCACCAGTGCCCTGGTCAAGCCCAGCTGAGCTCATTCTTCAAATCAAGTCTCTCCTGACTGAAATAAAAGCACAAAACACCCCAGTGAGAATGACTTAGCTTCTTCACCTCATCTTCAATTATGGGGGAAGTGGAAGTATTTCTGGGGCTCTAAAATTCCCTCATATCTGTCGTACTTGACATATTTCATTTATAATCTTCTCAAAGAGACTTCAATGGAATGTGTTGAAAGCTGCACAAACATTTAAACAGCTAGCTTGACTGTCCAATGTTTAAAAAATATATTCCTGGAGGCTCGATCATGAATAGTTTGCATGTAAAAGCCTAACACAAAGACCACTGTAAACATGTCAGTGGGACTGTTAGTTATATTTTTAAACTTTGGACAGAACCAGGTGACCAGATGATGCTTCCTGTCTTTATGATGAGCTAAGTCCATGCTGACTCATGGCCTATCCTTGATGCACAGATATGAGTGATAATGTCAGTGATTCGTCATTTCAGGATATGGTATGAACTCATGAGATGCAAGTATTCTAGTTGTAGCATACGATCAGAAAAAAGCAGCTTTTACAGCACAATATTAAACGAGTGGAGGGTTATTAAAGCTAAGAATTACTAAAATATATATTGTAGTAAAACAGAAAGTGGAACTGGTTCACAGAAACCCGCCTTATGTCACTAATGACTCATCTATCTCACAGACACACACACACAGCTCCGCCTACTGAACCGTCAAGGAAGAGGAAGTGTCACTGAAGAGAAGCGGAGAGAAGTTTCTCTTCTTATTTTTGTCTTAAAGTTTAACTTTTTTTTAACCATGGCGTGTGAACGTGACGGCTTATCTAATGAGAGGATAGGAAAGGCCCTGATCAAAAATGGAATTGAGGAGGAACTGAAACACACAGCCTCAGACGACGTCCCGTCCCTCACCCTCTATACTGTGGAATTAAAGAATGAGGAGGACAAGCTTGTAGATCAGCTGGGCACATTGATCCGCAAAATTGGTGACAAATTAAAGGATGACGTGGAGATCCGAAATGAAATAGACGGGCTTGCACGAGGCTTCAGGTGATAAAAAAATAAACATTTTAAAATAATATTTTGCTTTTCAATTTTTATACACATTGACCACCAAATGCAGCACTGCACTATTTCAGTTGATAAACAATTCACATACCAAGATGTGATGTTCTCAGTGTCTTGATAGTTTGAGTCTGATAATAAAGTTAAGGTGATTTATAACCATATCTAATTATAAAGATAAAGCAGAAATGCTTGACAGCAGATTTGGAATWATGTCGTTATAGGCTGACAGAAACAATTGGAAGGCACAAAAGCCATAGAGTGAAATAAAAGGATTTGTAGCTTACATATAAATAACTTGTCTTTCAAATGAGAAGAAGACCCATGAAGCGTATTGTTCTCCTTTACTAACTTGTGTCTGTTTTGTGTGTGTGTGTGTGTGTGAGTGTGTGTTATCCTTGAAATTAAATTATGGATTTCAGAATCCATAATTATGTCAATAGTTCATTTCAGAAGTTGAACTGCTGGTAATAATTTAATAGTGAAGCTCAAACATTCAACTGTATGGACATTGTGCACATTGGTGAGCATGTGTGTGTGWGTGTTTAATGTGACTCATCATCATCTATGTAGATTCATCGCTGTCACCCTCAAGTTTTGCAAAAAAAAGGAGTGAGAAAACTTTTCGGCAAGAAGGTGTGCCTCAGAGTTAACTGTTCAATCTCCAGGGGATGAACCCTCTGAGAGCTATGCCGGCAAAGAAGGTGATGACAAGGCCTTAAATCAGAGAAGCAAAGATAATAAAAAGAGGACTCTTAACAAGAGCTGCACAAACCTAAAGCAAACCAAAACGACATTAAATCCTTTTTAAACAAAACAACTGGTTCACAATCAAAAAACAAACAAAATACCAACATTAATTCTCTAATAGGCAATTCTGAAAACAGAAAATAGTTATATCTCAATAACAGACGTACTATCAATGGTGCTAGTTTGGCGAGCTGTTCCCACACACCTCCACTGACTCAGCTGGATGGAACTTATACTGCCGCCAGCCTTAAAGGTACAGTGTGTAGAATGTTGTGATATCTAGTGTTGAAGTTGCATGTTGCAGCTGAAGACCCCTCATCTCACCCTCTCCTTCCAAACATGAAAAAGAACCTGTGGTAGCTTCAGTTGTCATAAAAACTCAAAAGGTGTTTAGTTTGTCC